TATTTTGAATGCATATCTCTTCGAATGCAACAATAATACGTATATAAGTTTAATTAAATTAAATTACAAACTCGATGAGAACAAGAAAAGTCTTTATAATAAATCTATATTCAACTATTGACCATAAGAGATACACGCATCCATAAATCTTGATTGATTGTAGGTAATGCTGATTGAGGTGATATGCTGCTGCGAATACACTCAGCGATTCATTCGGCTTGGCTTATCACCTTTGGAGCGATAACATGGAGAACAGCGCGCTAAACAATAATATTCATTAATTTCATTTTATTAATTAAAACATGCCATAATCATAACTCATGATACGAGCTCGCACCAGGACTGGCTCGCGCTGAGCCTGAGGCGGCATTGAATCAAGCTGACAATCGCCGCAGTTCACTCTCAAAGCCTCAGCTCGAACCGTAGCTCTGTCAAAGCGCACCAAGCAGCAGCAACGGCACAATGCGATCGCCTCAAATTTATTTTCAATTGCGATTACGAATAGGATTTCGATCTAGTCATGTAGCGGATGCCAATGTCATTAGCACTGGATCGAACGCGTCTCCGGGTCTACAGCATCGCCATCGGCATCGGCATCAGCATCGGTCTCTCCATCGGCCTCTGCATCGTCAGATAAATGCTGCTTCAGGCCGCGGCCCACACGACCCAGTCGAACACTTAACGCTTAGTCGGCTTGTCAGTATCTCTCTTTCTCTCTCTCTCTCTCTCTCTCTCTCTGTCTCTCTCTCTCTCTCTCTGTCTGTGTCTCGGCATCTATCTATGCTAGCCTGCTTGTCGAGTGGGTGGGTGGGGTGCCTGCAGAGCGGGTGGGGAAAAGCGGTTCACCCATGGTCTGCTCGGACGGTGCAAGGGTTAATTTATGAGGCGCGATAAGCGAATTCCATTTCGTTTCGGTTTTGTTTAATTTTCGATTTCTGTTGTTGTTTTTTCTCGTTTAATTTTGTTTTCTTTTGACGTTTTCTATCTCATACTCTCAATCATTGCCTCTCTGTCTCTCGCGTGCGCTCCCTCTGTCGCTCTTTCTCTGTCGCTCGCATTTTAACTGCTGGAGGGCGTGTCGCAAGCGGAGGGCGGGGTAAATGTGCGACACCGTGTTATCGGCACGTTTCGTGGCGTATTTTTTTTCCATCTCCACTGCTACAGAAAATTTGAAATGACACGTTTGCGAGTGCGATGCAAAGGCAAAGCCAAGCCAAAGCCAAAGCCAAACGCAAAGCTAAAGCCCAGCTACAAGCAACGGCTACACCCCCCCGCAACACCCTATGCCAACATAAAGTTTTTAACTACCCCGTGTGGCTGTTAATCTGCGGTTTTAATGCCCAAGTGGCGCAAATTGGCGAAAGGGTTCGAATTACATGCTGCATGGCAGGGCTCGGGCTCGAGAGCCGCGCTCTCCGCCCGGCTAAGTGGTTCATGGGCAGCAGAGAGTGTCAAATGAGCGCCAGACAGACAAATTGACGCAGACTGCTGGCAGGAGGCGGGATGCCGCATGCTGGATGCTGGAGAGATGCTCTCTGCTCAATTTGAGACTGGCAGACATGTAAATTTGCAGACGAAATCAAATTAAGAGCGCACACGCTCCACAGACATTACACACTCAAGCTCAAGCACACACACACGCACACATTTGACATTTATTCTCGATGCGAACTTTTGCAATTGAATTAATTTAAATTATAATTAAAATTTAGTTAAATCTTATCAACTTTTATCTGCACCCATATATATTTAAGCCTCTCAATTCTGTTATTGTTATTGTTATTGTT